AAGGTTCAAAGTAGAAGAAAAAAAAAACAGAGAAGTACTGAACTGAAAAAAGTAATATGTGACAAAATAACATCAAACAGAGTATAATCCAAGCAAATTCTTTCTTTTTTCTTTATTGCTAGGGAAAGAAGAAGAGAAGAAAAGCAACAGCGGCAGCGAAGACTTAATACTGTTGTTTTTTCCTTTTTGTTGGCTTATGGTATCCGTAAGTCAATAAAAAAAAAAAACATTTCTTAAAAAACCTCGAAAAAATTATGCTTTAGCTTTTCTTTTCTGCTCTCATCTTTTTTTTTTCTTCTACTTTCAGTTTCCTGCAAGTTTTGTTTTGAGCATAAAAGAAAATTAGAAATTTAACGGAAGTTAAGTAGTATGCTATACCAATTTTAGTGGTCAAAAAGATTAGCAGTGGTAACATTTGTTTTCTCAACATTTCCTTTTAGTATTTACTTTTTTGTTTTTTAAGTGTTTTTTTTTGGTTTTTAAAATACTTCATTTCTAAATAAAAAAAAACGGCAAAAAAGAAAAAAGGAAATGGTAATGCATATTAAGATTATATATATTGTAACAGTACAATCAGTCGAAAATTGCAGAAAAAATTGACTTTTTTTGGCTTTAGAAGTGAGCACACGATAACACAGTTTCCTCTCTCCTTTATCTCTTCTTCTCTTCTCACTTCCTCTTAGTGCTTGTAAACTTTATTTTAATAAATAACAGAAAAAGGCAATTTAAAGGTTGTCGATTTTTTTATCTTCTAAAATTTGAATTACTTCTACGAATCTTCTTTTGTTATGTGTCAAAGAAATACTGTTTTTTTTGTTTCTTTATTTGATCTCACCTTTAGCTTATTGTCAAGGCAGAAATTTAAACTACAAGAGAGAAACGGCTAGGAAAAAAAAGAAAAAAGCTTTGTTTTTCTTCTTCAGATCTTCCTTCTTCCCCATTGCTATAATGTTGCCAATTACAATTTCTTGAAAGACATTTCATTTTTAGAAACCTTTTGCACATTCTGTGAAGAACAATAAGCACAGCAGGAAGAAAGAGAAATAAGATGACGATGATGAAAAACAAAGACAAAAAGTTCCTTCAAATATTTCTCTTCTTCTGTTATTTTTTTAGTTGTATTAAGAAGAGAAAAATTTTTAGGCATAATGCCGTCACCACTGATTCAGCCAATGAATCAGATGAATAAGACAGATGAAAATATAAGAAGTAAAATTTCAATAAACTTCGCAAAAAATTATATCTTTTCAAAACATTCTTCCCAGTATTTTTTCCCGTGTTTCTGTTGTTCAATACTTCTTTGTATGACTAACTATCATCAAGATTGATAGCTTCGTCTTCTCCTTTTTTTTTTTTTTTTGTATTTGTATAATATCAAACTGAATAGTTAGATAGATTATTACCTGATCAACTGACTAGGCTACTAAATAATCAACTGACTAAATGACTAGCTGAGCGAAACTTTCTAGTACAGTCTTAGCGGCGGAAAAAAAGCAACAACTTAACCTCTTGCTATTCTGTTCTTGTATCAGAATGTTCTTCTCGTTACTATTCAATAATCCTATTTTAAATAAACATATTTTAAATTCGCTAAACCCTTTGTTGTTTCCTATATTCCCTGTTTTTTTTTTTTTTTCCAAGTTCCCAGTGAAAAATAAAAATCTATTTTCATTTATTAAATGTCGCCTCATAAGACAGGTTTTTTTCTGATTTTTTTTTTTTTTTTTAATTTGGAAAATCAAATTTTATGCTATTGATCAACAAAAAATCAATATCCGCAACAAATCAGATGGTTATTTTTGTGACAACTAAATTTTCAAAAAAAAAAAAATGAAAAAAAAGAGGAAAAAAAGAGAAAAAAAAACATAAAAATAAGAAGAGCAACAACAAAAATGCATTAACTATTATTGGCAACATAACTGCTATTCCCGTTAATATCTCTTCCCTTTATTCCTCTGTCACTTTTAACTAATTCTTCCAATAAATACATCAATGTGTATACAGATAAACATACATATATAAGCATCTTATGCAAAAGTAACAATTGCTAAAATGGTGGAATCATAAAAGCCGACAACAAACCGATCAACTTTTACTGATATTAATCGGCTTTGCCCAAATATCCACCTAACTGCTCAGATAGTAACAACAAATTACATTACAGTTAAACAATCAAATCTAAAGCAAAAAAAAAGAAGTTTTATTTAAAAGTTTTATTTAGGTGCTAAATAAAATGCTTCATATTGTTTCGTACTTTTAGTAATATTGTTCTTACAGAATCAGATGACAAATATTTCGACAACTAACAGCGTTCACATAAACAAAAGCTGTAAAGTAATCAAAAAAAGCCAAGAGATTTCTTGAACAGCGATTTGTACCCTACCAATAAACCTGATAAATTATAGTCAAAAAAAACTGTATTTCAAACTTAATTTAAGTAAAACAGCTAAACATAACTAAATTGTTTTGGCAAGGTTAAATGCTATCTGCTATAGTTTGCTTGGCTTACTCAATTCTTATAGGTAAATTTTGCTCAACTCAACAATTAAAACTGCACCTTTATCATCAAGAATCTTAGCGCGTAAAGGCAACACTACCAAGAAGAAAACGAGAAAAATGCTGTAATACTTCTTCGTTCTTATCTCTTCGCCGGTTTTCCCTTATCTTCTTCATTTTTTCCTCGTTTTATTCATCATTTAAGTGTTTTTAAAATCGGCAAAAAAAGTAGAAAATCAGAAAATAATCAGTGGTTAACAAAATGTCTGAAAAGAGAAAAAAAAAGAAATTTTTTTTTCTGTAGCATAAAATTCTCAAATTCTTTGTTTTTGTTTTTTTTTTTTTTTTTTTGAAACAGTTCAGCTTCAGCTACTTAATGAGGTGCCAAATATATAAAACACATAATAATACGGATACACATATGTATATATTCATTAGAAAGCTAAAATTTTATTACGTATTGTAAGTATATGGTGCCAGTATTTAATTTCTTTCTTTTGGTCTTCAGATTTTTAAAACTAAAAGACTGTCCTGACAGCAATGCCAAAAAAAAAAACCTTCTTAGTTTTTTGCTTTTTATAACTCTAATTACAAGCCGGATGCATACTTAAATAATAAAGAATTGTTTCAAGTAAATAAAAAAAGGTGAATAAACAACAAATACTTTTCAGGTTTTTCCTCTTTCTTAATTTCTTTACTATAATTACTATTATTATTATAATGAATAGTTTTATCAAAACTTGTAGCAATGTTTTTGAAGAACTCAACAAAGAATTTTCTGATTCAATAAAGCCAATTTATTTCCAACCTTTCTACATGATAAACAAGAAGAAGCATAAATAAAAGCATAGATTTACATATACGTAAAAGAAAAA